AGCCTCCACCCAGAGCTAAACACTGCACTGCATTTGTAACAATTTACAGTGCCTAATTCTGCTTATATTTGTCTACGCTAGACTGCAAATATCATTATATTAATGTTTCACACAAATCAATGTTTAAGTTGAAAAAAGACAGCATAATATCCATATCATACAACTTTTCCATTGAAAGCTGCAGGAACAGAGTTTGATAAATGCGTTAAATCCTGTAAAAAAAAAAAATCAAAAAAAAAGAAAAAAAAAACAACAACTGTTTTGCATTCCCTACGTGCCATGATAATTTATCTCTGAATGCAAAAATTCCTTAACTTACAACAATCGCCCTAAAATACATCACATGGTGACTGCTAGAATTTCGTATTTTCAGATAAGCAAGAAAACGTGTCAAATTCAAAAATAAATGGAAAGACATGAAAGACAGCTATAAAATAAAATAAATAAAATAAATCCCTGCTCCTGGCTAAATTAGTATTGACAAGTAGGGCCAAATTTATCCTACACAGAGGGGAAAAAAAAAATCTCTGGAACCACTAATCCCAGTACTCAAGGTGAAGATGGATATTTAAATGCAGCAAAGAGCACCAGCAACGGGAAGCACTGAAGGTAAGGTGCAGTCTCAGGTTCTGTGAGACAAAATACCATGAATTTCTCTAATGCCCATAATCACCAAATCGCCATTTTCTCAACTAGAGAAGTGCCCTGGTATAGAAATCCACCAAAGAACCAGGCTGCTGATAATGAATGTGTTGGAAACAGATGACCAAACGATAATCAAGACACTTTATTCAATTTATTTTTTCCTAGTAGGACATTTATGAAGAAAAGCAATGTCATTGCCATAAGGACAGTGCAAACGACCAAACGTTCTGCTGCACGGCATCATTTGTAATACATCTGCTGGCAATTAAAAAAATACATTCAAAAGTACAACCACTGGGTCGATGACAAACCTTGGTACTGAAGCATGAGATGGAAGCAAAAGCTAAACAATTTAAGCTGAGCTGGATGCACATAAACACCCAGCTCTGACTTCTTCAGGTAGTCAGGGAACAACAAAATATGTATTTAGCAGCTTGAAAAAAAAAACAAACAGGACTGCACATAAATATTTTAAAGAGCTAAAGTAAGTAACAAACACATCACAGCTGATATTTAGAAAATAGCCAAAATACACACGCACACTCTCACACACAGGCACATACACTGTGCTATCAGTGCCATTTCATTGTTCCATCAGAATCCTCTGTGTTCCGGCAGGATGGAGGGTTATAGCGTGTTACCAAGAGTTGTTCGCGCTGAACGTTAGTTTACAAGCGCGGAGAAGTTGGGATTGGCGCAGTGCAGGGCAGGGTGGCTTTCACGGTGCCGGCAGGGGTTAAATCTCCAGCTCTGCCAGGGCAGGCAGGGGCAGCGCTGCCCAGCAGTGCCCTGGCCGCGGTTCCAGGCTGCAGCTTATTGACAAGGGGCGTTCCTGAGCGCCGGCCAGCTCATCGATAAGGAGCTGTGCAGCCCGGCAGGCCCGGTGCAGCCCTGTCAGCACAGCACGGCAGCGCACGGCCGCTTACAGCTGCGGCAATAAAAATAAAGGTAACTCACAGCCAGGAGTTAACCCCGCGGCCAACACGCGGCTTGTCTGCTTTTCAGAGCTTTTTTATTCATTCTTTAAAACAAAAATCTATGCAAGGGGAGAACGTTCTTAATGAAGATTTTCATCCTCTCTCTTTAGACATAAAAAATAGTTGCAGCAGCCCGAGCAGCCGAGCAGGCCTTTCGCTTCCCCTGCGGACACCTCCTGCAGTCGAGAAGTTCATTAAGTTTTATGATCTTCCCAAGTCAGTCCTGCTTATAAGCCTCACAAAGGCCACAAATCTGGCAAACCATCATGTATGCCATTAGGCTTTACTAGGAAATGAATGCTATTTAGGGGTGGTGGTGACAGTAAATTCGGGGTTGGTTGGCAGCTATCATTGTTGCTGCTGGACTTGGGGAAATAAATAAATAAATAAATAACTGTAGATGTGTGCACGGTTATGCACATGAATTCAGACATTTTTATAAACCTGTGATCCTGTCTCTGCAAATGACTTTTAAAGACAAAAACCCAAATTATCTATCAGCACAGTCCAGGACCTAATAATATGTTTCTCCATTGGGAAATAAATGCAATTCCCTAAGACATTTTAAGACTACAAGAATTACTATATTTTCACTTCTTTCTCCATAAGAATAACCAGGACCCCAGGTTGAGCAACATCCTGGAGGAAGCTTAATAAAATCACCAGTCTGAAGGTGTTTTAGTCAGTAAAAAAGAGCTATTAAAAAAAAAAACAAACAATGGTGCAAATCAGTTTTTGATTCCTTCTGGCAGGATGTGAGGAAACAGAGTGTGACACAGGTATGCAACAGATGTGAGCGTGCGTCCAGTGACACCTTGGCGAGCAGGCAAAGCACAGCCAAAGGGAGCCACCGCCTCCTCTCTTGCTTATCTTCCTATTTTATTGGAGGGGCTTCGGTAGAACTCTGCTATAATTTTTCTTTGAACTAATTAAAGCCAGAGGTGGCAGTTTCTTTATGAACACCATGCTACCTTGTGGTTGCCTCTCAGAATACACGCAGCTATTAATAGTTGTAAAGCACTTAAATGTATTATGCAGCACTTTTGAAAATGTTAAAATGTTAAAAAAGAAATGTCAGGCTAAATTCAGTAACTCGGTGATCTGCTTTGTACATGGTAAATACCTCACAGGGAGAAAAAATAAAAATCTTCAGCTCCTGACCCTGTGTGAGGCTTTCAGAAATGAGATGTATCCATTAACCCTTGCTGGGAAGTGACAGAGTGGCTCCATGCAAACTGAGGATTCCTTCTCGTGCTCTCTCCCAGCCAGTCTCACAAAGTCCTTGCTGACTGTACTGAAAACTACTAAAATGCAAATAAATACATAATTCAATATAAAAATTACTTAAATATCGCATGACTTGTTTCTGAACAGACATGACATCCTTCCATGGAGGAAGACTGTGATGAAACCATCATGGCAATTCCCACACCCAGGAAAACTTTGGTTCTGATCAGGAAGAATTAAACACCAGCACATGACCCCATCAGAGGAAGGTTTAAGCTCCTGACAGTTGTCGGACCACAAGACAATGCAGAGCCCTAGGCAGAGAGGGGGACACCTCTGCTTTAACTGCATCTCAGACCCTTCCTCAAGCTTCCAGTTTAGAATTGTTTGAGCTGTTCCCTCCGAGAACAGCTTCCAGAAAACAGGCTACAATTTAATTTCACGTTTTCCTTGCTTTAGCACACTAAGTAAAGCCTGCACAGACATTTAACTTCAACTGGGAGGCCCTGAGCGAAGGTCCCCTTCCGGGAAGAGTTTTTGGTGGAGGTGTGGATCCATCTCCATCAATCACTCAGAGCATTAATCGAGTCCCTCCCGTGATGCCGGGGCTGGCAGGAGCTCGCCTTTGGGCAGGCAGACGCCTTCACTCTTTGTTGGTTCTCAGCGATCTCACAAAAGAGATAACTTGAAAACTTGCTCGACTTCTTGCAGCACAAATGCAGCATCCCAACGTACAAGTTATCACTGAAACACCCCAAAAGGTTTCAGACCACCTTCAGTCTCTCGTCAGGCTCCCTCTCGCCTGCGAGACGGTGGCGGCCTCACAAACACCCTGTGCCAGTAATCCCCCGCCGAAAGGACCGGGGCTTTCTTCGCAGCTCACCTCTGACATGTGCCTGACTACACTTGCCTTTCAAAACACTGAGGCTAAGCCCTCTGCAAATAAAGTGACCGCGGGACCTACGCCTGCCTCCTTAATTGAAATGTGCCTCCTGCAAATGTCTGAACACCGAGGGCAGGTTGCTCTCTGGCTCCGGAGCAGGACGGGCAAAGAAGTTTAGGGAAAGGCAGGAAACAAACACACAAGCCAAGGAAAGAGGTTACGAGCCGACCGAGGAGGAACGTATGTAGGTAGGAAGGGAGAGGGATCATTCCCCTTATCCCGGGTAATATAATGCAACATAAAGCAGAATCAATCTTAATATTCACAACACAGTCAATACCCTAGTGCTTAGCTGTCAGCAGGAACTGAAGTGGATCCCCGGTAGCAAAGAAACCCTTGGACATAAAGCACCATAATTCACAGAGAACCGCTCACTCCAGGCTCCACAGCTCAGATTTGCAATGATTTCACGTTGGGTTGTTTTCACCCAGTTTTATTTTTTCAGTGTGGAATTAAGCAGAACGTTATTGAGTATCACATAGAGCTAAAAAGCCAGGCAATGGCTTAAGCTATATGTGAATAATTGCCTATTCATTTTTAAATCCAGTCATAATAAATGTTTTTGTTACTGTTAAATGTTCTTACTATTGTTAAATGTTATTATTCTCATTATTATTTTCATTAAATGTTCGTGTTATCGTAATACAAAGCAGAATACTTTGTAAATTTTTTTCTTTAAACAAACAAAAAATTCTATAAATTCAGTGATGTGAAAAAATTGCAAAAAAAAATCTCCTAGATCGCCCACAAGAAAAGCACGGAGTTTATTCCTTTCTAGTTAATGTAGACGGAAAAAAAAAAAAATACCGCACTTTGGAGATGATTTTTGAGAATTTTGGCGTTTAAAAGCCCAGCGCCCGGGAGGCGCCGGCGCAGCGCCGGGCACGGGAGCGGGGTCGGGGCGCCCACGGCGGGGCCGCGGGGGCTCGGCTCGGCGCTGCCGCCCCTCACGGAGCTCCCGGTCCGGTGCCGGGGTTAAACCCGCGGGCACACCGCCCCGGGCCGTCCTTCACACGGCGCCGGACGGCACGGCGGGGCCGCGGGGGCCGGGAGCGGGCCCCCCGCGCCATTTCGCGGCGCTGCCGCCGCCCCTCGGGCCGCCGGGCGCCCCCGGCCCCGCGGCGCTCCCGGGCCCGGCGCGGCCCCCGCCCCCGGCGGCGTGAGGGGCGCCGGGCCCGGCGCGGCGGCAGCGCTAAGATGGCTGCGGCGGCGGCGCGGCGGCCCGTACCTGTTTTCTCCTTGATCTCGCAGAGGACGCTGAACAGGGCGGGTTTCATCCTGTGGCAGTTCAGGGCGTGTTTCCTGCAAGAGAGCACAGGACAAGCGGTTAGCGTCGGGCTCCGGCAACATGGCGCCTTCCCCGGGCCGCTCGCCCCCCGGCCGGGGGTCCCGGGGCCGCGGGCGGCGAGGGCCGGCCGGAACCTCCCTCAGCCCGCTTCGCCTTCGTGCGGAATTATCTTTGTGCAAACACCGCCCGAACGAGGGGGAAAAACCACCCCCCTCGTCCCCGTCCTGCGATATTAGAACTGATTTATTAAGGAGATTGGGGAGAGGGGGGGGAGGTGTACAGAGTTAACATTGTTTTTGTATTTATTGTGATTGAATAGAGCCGGGGTTTGGTTCGGGTTTTATTCACACACACACACCCTCTCCTGCAGCAGTATCTGGTCAGATTTATAATTCATCTGCTGCCGCTTTGAGACAAGAAAAGAAAGAAAGAGGCAAAGTTGTACTTTGAGGGATGGCCGGACGGACAGACGGATGGACGGCGGCGCAAAGGCCGGTATCCACCGGGCAGTGTCCAGCGGGAACGGGCAGGGACCAGCCACAGCCTCCCGCGACCACACCGACGGCAGAGCCATCGCATACTTCTACATTTATCATAGCTATTTTTTTTTTTTAAGGAAAGAAATCATTAAATAGCAACTTGGCTCTGCCTTGGCTGCTGGTAATTTCTCTTACGGCCCCAAGAAGTTGCTCTTAATTGTGAGACTCTGGGTCTCTGCAGAGGAGCAGGAAGGAGAGAAACAAAAACCACACACACACACCAAAAATAATAATTAAAAAAATAATATTAATAATTTTTTTAAAAGACAAGGTTTAATTAGACGAAACCAACTTTGCTTGTGCCTCATCCAGGCTTTGGTCAGTGATGGTCATGATCTGATGGAGGATGTCGCCGATGTCCTGCTTCCTGCCGTCGCCGTCAGCCCCTTCGTGTCCGTGGGGAGGCGGTAGGGCCATGCCCCCCTGCACCGAGTGCCCGGCCAGGTTCACGCCGGCCAGAGTCTGCAGCATCCTGGACTGATCGTCCATGGCTCCGGGCCGGGCCGCGCTCCGGGCGGTCACGGCAGCGCCTGCCCCGCTCAGTCCCAGTGCCGCGCTCCTGACCGCGCTCTGCACACACACCACGAAAAAAGGGAAAAAGGAAAAAAAAAGCCAAACAAAACAGTAACAAAAAAAATGTAGTATTTGTGTTTTGACCGGATCTCAGCTGTTTATTCCACTCTCTTCTCCTTTCCAGGGCAGTAAATCACTCTCTTCTTTAGTTACAATCTTCTTTCATCATCATCATATTGGTGCCTCGGATAAATGAGCTGAGCAGATTTCTGTGAGGTTTTCCTGGTACAATCTTCCTCCAAAGCTTTTTTTTTTTTCCTTTTTTATTTTTATTGTTGCTTTTTATGTCTTTCCCCACTTGTCCAAAAATCTTCTTTGAAAAAAGGCAAAATTTAAAAAAAAAAAATTAAATACAAAATCAAAAAAACTCGCTTTCAAATCCTTCAGAAGTTGGGAGGGTGCAAACAGCAAAAACCACAACAAACCAGCGAACACCCCCACCCCCAAATTGCAACATAAAAAAAGCCAAGAAAACACAATCACAGAGGGAAAAAAAAAAAATTAATCGCCCTCCCCCCCAAATAACAAACGATCCCAAGTCTGTGCACGGGGGTGAGACAGCAGCAATCAAAAGTTTGAACTTGTGCAAAGAAAAGAGCGGAAATAACGGGGAAAGAACTGTAAAAAAATTAATTACACACTCTCTGCAAAGCAATGTGCAAAAATATCGGCCCGCCGGAATTTATGAGCCCCGCGCCCGGTGCCCGCGCGTGTTTTATGTTGTTTGATGGCCGCTCCGGTGAGGGATTGACAGGCTGCCAACGCCACTCACTCACCGCAGACGTGTCACCCTGTGAAGGAGCCGAGCGGCGCGCGAGAGGGAGCGGAGCGCCGGCCCCGCCCCGCCCGCGGGCCCCGCCCCGCCGCCCCGCCCCGCCCCGCCCCGCGCGGGCCCGCCCGCCCCGCTCCGCGCGCGCGGCCCTCCCGCCGGGCCCGGCGGCGCCCGCGCTCCCGGGGCGGGCGGGAGGGGCCGGCCGAGCGCCAGAGCGACGGGCACGGCGGCCAATCGCCGCGCGAGGCGGTGGGAGCTGGCTGCGGCCTTGGCCAATCAGCGCCCGCAGGGTGGTGCGGAACCCGCCCACCCCCGCTCGGGCCCCGCCCCGGGATGAGGAACTTGTGATTGGGCCGTTCGAACGGCGGCGTGGGCGTGGCGAGCGGCCCGGGCCCCGCCCCCGTTGCCGTGGTGACGGCGGGCCGGTCCCGCCGGGCCGGGCCCGGGGCATCCCGACCGCCCGGTACCGGCCGGGCCTGCCCGACGGAGCCCCGGTGCCTCCCGAACGCCCGGTACCGGCCGGGCCTGCCCGACGGAGCCCCGGTGCCTCCCAAACGCCCGGTACCGGCCGGGCCTGCCCGACGGAGTCCCGGTGCCTCCCGAACGCCCGGTACCGGCCGGGCCTGCCCCGGGCCCGGCAGCGGCGGCCGTGCGATGGAGCCCTGCGCAGGATGAAGGGTCCCGGGCCGGCCTGTCGCGGCCCGTGCCCTGAGCGTGTCCCCGCGGAGAGCTGCGGGACAGGACAGGAGCCTTCGGCACAGCCCTCGGCTCAGAGCCTGCGTTACCGCGTGCAATTGCAAATTATCTTTTTGTAAATGTGCACAGAACCGCGGAAGCGGGAGGAGAAAAAGGCACAGGCAGCAAGGGTAATTACGACTTCATTCTCTTAGGATGTTACATGTAGATCGTTGCCACCCTCCTCAGACTGTCCTCACGTGGGAGACTGCCCTGTTCGCTCCTGCTTCCCTCAGGTCGGGCCATTTTGTCACACTTCGGGTAGAGCCGCGGTTCAAACCGTCCTTAGTTTGCTGTTTGTGCTCTGTCTGTGGTAGACAGTCCCAGTGGAGCCATGCCCACACTCAGCCCTCATCCTCTGACCTTCCTGGCGGTCTGGCTGATGCCTCAGGCTGGGCATTAGAGCAGAGCTCAGGGTCATCCAGTTTTACTAAGAACGCTACCCCAAAGGCATTTTAAATCGGTATTTTTGTGAATATTTCACAGATGCACTTGCACTTGCCCCCTGAGGATGAAGTGCCATAGGTAGAATGGGCAGTTCCCCTAGCCCCAGACCCTGCCAAACGGGACAGGGCTCCCTGGCCCCTGCAGGGACCTGCTCGGCCTCACCGCATCAGCGGAAAGCTGCTGTTCTGGGTGATTTTGGTACTGTTTTAGGAGGCTGAGTCCAGTCACCCCAGAGCTCTGGGCTCTGCCAGCTGCAGCCAGGCACTCCTGTGATACGCCCTGTGCTGGGGCAGCTCCGGCTCCTGCCCTCACTGCGCTGTTGCCAGTCATTGGTACCTGCTCCTCACGGGCCTCGGTGGCACTTGGCCATGCTGTGCACTGTCCCTCTCAAAGGCAGCTGGTTTTCGTTTGTGCAGCTGCTGAGGCTGCCACGTTAGGCTTTCCTCAGGGATTAACGAGTCTCCTTGCTTGCACCAGCAGGTCTGGAGAGGTGACAGGGACACAGAGCCAGCAGGCCAGGAACAGGCACCCTGGGAACAGCTGGGAGCACCTGCAGCTCGGCTGGGCGCCCCGCTCAGCCCCGGAGCAGCGGATAACCGGGACACTGCTGACGGCCCCGGGCGGCGCTCAGTGCCGGTCCCGGGCACAGTGACCCGTGTGGGGCCCGTCCCCTTCGTGTCTGTACTTGCGTGCTTGGCCTCAAACCACCAAATAAACACAAACGTCACGGTGCTTTTAGCAACACACTGGCAATAAAGCCGGTGCGACCCCGGTGAGAAAAGCCTCCTGTGCGCTGCCGTGCGGCACCGGGGAGCGCCGCTCGGCCGCGGTGTCCCGGTACCGCCGGTGCCACCGCCCCGCCCGTTCCGCGCCGTCATTTCCGCGTCCGCGGCGCTTCCGGGTCCCGCGGGCGCCCGTTCCGCCGGACCCGGACCCGGAAGCGGCTGCGCGGCCCCGCGGCGGCGGCGCCGGTAAGTGCGGGGCGGGGGGCGGTGGTGCCGCGGCTGCCCGCGCTGCCAGTCCCTCGCAGGGCCCCCGCGGGATGCCGTGACCGGCGGCAGCGGCTGCCAGCCTGCCCGGGACGCGGCGCGGGCACCGGGGCTCTCCCGGCGGCGGGGCAGACGGAGCGGGTCCGGCAGCGATGGGCGGCGGGGCACAGGTGAGTGCGGCGGGCACGGCGGGCACCGGCACGGTCCGGCGGGACCCCCGGGATGCCCTGGGCGTGCCCGCGCCCCGCGGCGGCGGGAGGCACCCGGCTGCCCTGGGGGCTCCGGCCGGTACCGTCTGTCCATCCCCGTCCCGTGTCCCGGCTGCTCCGGCCGGCCGCGGGGAGGGCTCTGCCTGCCCGGTGCTCCGGGAGCGCTCCGAGCAGCATCGCACCTGGATGCCGTTCTGCACGGCCGCCCGGTGCTGCTCCTGCCTGCCGGTGCCATCGGAACTGTGAACAGCGCAGGGGAGCGGGAAGGGTCCAGGGGATGCAGCAATGAGTCCATTTCTGTGCTAGTGGGAGTTTGGTAATGACTAAACAGAGATGCCAGAGCCAAGCTTGGATATCCTGAGCGTGTTCTACCCGATTTTAGGTGTCAGGGAATTATCAGGTACATGCAAGACTGGGAATTAGACTCTCTCAGTTACTTTTCCAAATTCAGAACAGCTCCATTCACGGACACTTTTTTGGGTTAGATTAAAAATAAATTGGGATCAGCATGTACGTACGTATAGACTTGTACAGAAATAACTGAAGAAGGGAGAACCAGTTTAGTCAATTGCTGTATCAGTAATGTTTCACATCTTTGTTGTAACACCCTTCCTCATCTGTTGGTTAAGTTTTCACCCATTGCAACATGTAACAAATTTAGAATAACAAATAACAGATGTTAAAATAACAAGTAACAGCTACATTCTTGTTGTGCGTTGCCTTTGGATCAGTGAAGGCCTCTGCAGGTGGAGCAGCCTGGCGCAGGGATCTGTGTTATACGTTCTATAGCACGAAATTTTCCTGGCCATTCGAAGTTGTGAGCATGAAAAGCACACACCTGTATGGAAAGGTCAGTTATGGCAACAAATGGCACAGCACATGGGCAGCGTGCTGGCCACATCCCCAGGTAGGAACAGCCCATCTCCCGTGTGGTCACTCTTTTTGGAGATCACACAGGCGCTGAGGCTGGAAAAAACCTGTGAGATCATCGAGCCCAGCCTCTGACTCGCCCCCTTGTCACCCAGGCCGGAGCACTGAGTGCCACGTCCAGTCACGCCTTGAGCTGCTCGGGGCTGGTGATTCCACCACGTCCCAGGGAGCCCCTTCCAACCCTGACAGCCCTGGGGTGAAGAAATTCCTTCTGATGTCCAAGGGCAAATGGCACTGGCTGAGAAATGAGGGTGTCTTCATTTGCTCCCGTTCAGGTGCTGGAAGGGGCAGGCTGGAGCTGCGGGGCAGAGCCCGGGGGTGTCAGTGCTGGTCCCACACTGGGGCTCCCCTGCAGGGAGGGGCTGCCTCAGGGGTGGCAGCAGCTCCCCAGGGCGTTTGTTAGTGCCTCTGACACGGACTCCAAGCTGTGTTTTAATATTAACTCTGTGTGTGTGTGAGCTGAGGAGCTCCATCAGACTGTGATGCCTTGTCGTTCACTGTCTGCCAGCTCAGTTTTGTATCCCAGACCGCAAAAGGGCAATCCCTACCTTGTTTGCTTATTGCCTGAGAAGTGTTGTATCTAAATTCATTATTCTGAGAGCAAAACAAAGCTCCTTGAATATGTTTTGTGTGCTCTTGAAAGAGACAGACCCAAAATTAAAAGCCAGAGGAACAGGGGATTCATCTTTTGCTGAAAAAATGTGAATCTATTCAGTTCCATCTGACATAAAGTCCCAAAGGGACTGAAGGTCTCGGGCATTTTTAAGTAGGTCTGATCATGAGTATTTCTTAAGTCAGAAGCAGCTTGCATGCTGCTATATTTAAAAAATACGATTATGATCATGTTTTTAATGCAATAAAAATATTTACATGCGCTCAAAAGTAGAATGGCAACAACCTAAAGAAGCTGACAGAAACCCAAGTGTTTGTTTTGACAGGTGCTGCTGTTTGAGGCACAGCCCCCTGCCTGGCAGTGTCAGAGCAGCCTCCCTGGTGCTGCTGCAGAGCTGTGCAGTGGCTGTGCTGCGAGCCCCTGGGCTGGCTGGGCCTGCCTCGTGTCCCCAGCTCTGTCCTGGCTCCAGACAAGGCAGCTTCTGTGAGCCTGGGGGCCTTTGTGGGTGTAAAACCCAAAGAGAGTAGCATCTCTCTCAGTAGCAAACAGGCAAAAAGGTAAAAAGGTGAAGCTTTCTGGTTCAGTGTTTTGTTTTTTTTAAGATTGAAGCTTGTATTGATGTTTATGAAATTTATTAAGTTTTTTAGGCTCCTGAATATCACACTGAGAATTGTGAAAATAGAAGCTCTAGTCTGATATTCAAGCAATCCTAGCCTGTGCTTTCATTCTCCACTCTACAACAAGGTATTTTATTTATCACAGAACCCAAGAGTGGTTTGAGTTGGAAGTGAGTTCAAAGCCCACCCAGTGCCACTCTGCCCTGGCAGGGACACCTCCCACTGTCCCAGGTGCTCCCAGCCCCAATGTCCAGCCTGGCCTTGGGCACTGCCAGGGATCCAGGGGCAGCTACAGCTGCTCTGGGCACCTGTGCCAGGGCTGCCCACCCTCCCAGGGAACAATTCCCAGTTCCCAATATCCCATCCATCCCTGCCCTCTGGCAGTGGGAGCCATTCTCTGGGTCCTGTCCCTCCATCCCTTGTACACAGTGTCTCTCCATCTTTCCTGTAGCTGCTGGAAGGCTGCATTTAGGTCACCTGGGCCTTCTCCAGGCTGAACAAGCCCCATTCTC